CCACATTTAAATTGCAAAAACTGCTTTCCAAAGGTTAACCAAAGTATTAAGAAACAGGAACATTTCATTAGAAACAAAGAACTGGAGCCCTCCTATATGGCAGTGAATGCTCACAGACAAAGTGATTTGAGGTAACAGAAATGTGGTTCTATAGAAAGTTGCTGAGAATACCATGGACTGAACATGTGAGTAATGAGAAAGTTTAGAGGAAACTGAAAACAAAAAAAACAATTATACTTAGGATTAAAAAAAGATGATTTGTTGTATCCTTAAAGAAGGTTACAAATAGACAAACGTGGTACTTGAGTGAAATGAACAGCAACACGCACACATACATGAAAGAAAGAGAGGTTTATTGTAAAAGAGAATACACTACTGAAAGACAGGGTATTGGTTAGCAAACTAGTAATTCCCAAGCAAGTCCACCAGGTATATCCTGTGCTTACTATATATATATATATATATATATATATATATATATATATAGTGTCAGTCTACATAGGCGATAGGGAGTGTAGGACATTCCATTACAACATGATTTAAATTTCTAGAGCATATAATGAGGAAAAAAGAACTTGGAGAATTTAACACTCACAGGACATATTGAAGGCAAGAGAGACAGAGGACAGCAGCAAATAACCTACCAAACAAGTAATTGGGTGGCAGAACAGGGATTAAAAGAGATATTGAAAAAACAAACATTGCTAAGAGTCATAAAGGACAGGAAGTTGTGGAGAGCTATGATCATCAACATCCTCAAGAGAAATGGCACATTGATGAAGAGAAAGAAATGTTAGATTAATAAATGTCTGTACCTTATTTTTCGAATATCCTTCATAAAATTTAGGTGCCTCTAAAAATTTGATAAAAAAAGATCATACCATGATGAAAAAGGCCCTGAACTTTATAAAAACAAAGTCTTATTGTCAAAATGTTTATGTTATTAAGAGGAAAGATCAAAGTATATTTTTATTATTTTATTAAATTTTTGAATCCTTTCTAGCATGTTCAAAATTTTGGTTAAAAATTTTGCTTTTCTTGCATCAGTAAGATTAGTATGGGAAATTTAGTGTCTTTTTTGGAGTAAAAAACATTGCAAAAATCAAATAATTGTCACATTTTAATGAAATTTTCAAGGCTTATTCACATATGAATTAAATTATTTAGAAAAAAAAAAATTTTCTTATTAGAAAATCTTGGTAAAAATATTTTTTTTTTTAGATCTGTTACCCCTAATTAATTTTATGAAATTTCCACCCTCTTCATATGTATGTTAGTTAAAAGGAGGACTCCTTGGAGAATTTGAATCACCAATCTGCTCTAAATTGTAAAATAAAAAAAAAATGCAATAAACTTATGACATTAATTAGAAAAGCTTTTAATTGCTTTTATGAATAAGATGTATTAAGGACAATATTGTTTTAAGAAAAAAATTATTTTAAATGAATTTTAATAAGAATTTTTTATATTTTTTAAAATTTTAATTAGAATAATTTATAAAGTTTTAAATATTTTAAAATTTTGTATCAATTTCACCCTTTCATATGATATTATTATTAAGTAAAACCTACATTTACTAATTATACATGGTAAAGCTTAATGCAAATCAAATAACAGTATTTTTAAAAGAATTCTCAATTTTTTTTGTATGTATAAAGGTGCCAATTTTTTTTCAGATATGGTGGCACATCATAATATTATCAGAAAATAAGAGCAATAAAAACAGTAAATTTAAAGCCAGAAAGTATCTAAAATTTGATAAAACATTAGATTATGGAGAATAATTTCTAAAATTTTTAAGATTACTGAGGACTTAAAAATTATATATTGAAGGCACACTCGTTATATTCAATTATTTTTTATACCTAAAGCCACCATAGAACAATAGATAAACATCAATCTGTCAATCATGTCAACAACTTAAATAAACAGCTACCACCATATTAAAAAAATTACTTACTATGATATTTTAAACTTAAAGTAAAAAATATTTGTTTCAAATCAGATTAATTATGCTTTAAATGGGTTAATATTCCTCAAATAAAATTTCAGAAAAGTATATTTTACTTTTGGAAGATTTTTTAACAAAGAGAATTACATTGCGATGAAAAATGACTAATAAAAGGATACGAATTAGCAAAAAAAAAAAAAAAAAAAAAAAACTCCTTACAGTCAATTTAAATTAGTTTTAAAATACAGCAAGGTATTTTGCTTATTGAAAATATTAAATTTAACCTATTAACTTGAAATTAAAACTGAAAAATAGCATCAAGAAAGATTTTCATTTTTAAAAATTCCTTTTAAAAAGCTTGGGTATCATGTTTTCTGTGGTGGTACCTTTTATATATATATATCTCCAGGTATGATGAGAATGAATAGAGTACACTTCCAATGTTGATAACATTTAATTAAAAAAAAAAAAAAAATGAGGATGTATTTTGCTTTTGAAACCAAATTAATTGTTCACTCTCCAGTAATTTACAATCAGCTGAGGAGACACATTATACATTGAAACATCAGTGCAATTGTATAGCAATTCTTACATGTTTTTTGTTGTAATATCTTAAATAAACATACATACATATATATATATATATATATATATATATATATATATATATATATATATATATATTTATTTATTTATTTAAGGATATATATATAGCAATCTGAATGTACATTGGAAAAATGAATGATGCCTTCCAAAAGCTAGGTTTTATTAGAAACAAAGAAAAAAGTACTGAACTGCTATGTAATATCAATCCTCCAATATGGTAATGAATGCTGGACAATCTCCTTCTAGACAAAGAGATAGAAACCAACAGAAATTTGGTTCTACAGAAGGATACTGAGAATACCATAGACTGATCATGTGAGTAACAAGGAAGTTTTAAGGAAAATGGAAACAAAAAGTTTCAGAACACACAATGAGGAAAAAGTGACTTGGGAAATTTGACACTCCTAGAAAATATTGAATACCATATTGAATGCAAGATGAACAGACAAGAAAATAGCAAGTAACCATCTTAAGAAGCATGTGTAATTGGTTGGGAGAACAGGCAATGAGATGCTTAGTGAAAAGACAAACCTTACTAGGAACTACAAAGGATAGGAAATTGTGGAGAGCCATGATGGTAAGAAGTGAAGATGATGAGGATAAAGAGAATAGATAACAATTGACACCTGGCTCAAAGAGGTTAGGAATAGAAAGTGAAATTGGTTACCCAAATTCAAATTCTGGCCTCTTTCATTGTCTTCAAGTTGTTCAAAAAAGTTGTGGAGAGCCATGATGGTAAGAATTGAAGATTATGAGAATAAAGAGGATAGATAACAATTGACACCTGGCTCAAAGAGGTTAAGGACATCTGTGTATGAATTTCTGGGACTTATAAACTTAATGTCTTCAACATCCATTTTTACCGGTGCTCATATTGCAATTTTTTGCTGTTATGATTGCATGTTTTTTACCAGAGTTCATATTGCAAATTTTGTTGATATTATTGCTTTTCTCTGGAACTTCTTATTACTGGTTCCCATATTGTATTCATTTCTATGCTTGGAATGTTGAACTGAACCCTTAAGGACACATGGCACAATGGATAAAGGCATTGGTTGGATCCAGTGACAGGACCCAAAGAGTTGTGAGATCAATACCTGGTTAAGGCAGTAGAGAACTTGGAGAGGCAAATTAACAGGAGATAACAGATAACTGATATCAATTAGACATGGCGCATAGAACTAGAACAGTCTACCTCAGTGAGCGAAATAAAGGGTTCAGTTCAGCATTCCAACAACCTGAAGAAGGCCAGCTGAAACGTTGTGATAAATATGGCAACAAAGATGAGAACAATAGTCAGAATAATGTAAATAGTGTATATAATACCTCATTTCAGAAATATAGACAGATACTGAAGAAATTTCAATTGTCTCTTTTTGATTCTGTGTATAAGTGTCCTTTTTATTACCATTTTCCTTAAGACTTCTTATGCACTCCCTTCATGGTATTCTCAGCATCCTTCTGTAGTACCATATTTTTGTTGCCTCCAGTTTTCTCTTTATTTGTGAGGAAATTGTCCAGCATTCACTACCATAGAGGATAACACCTTTATCTACTGTGTCATGTGTTCAGTTTGACATTCCAACCACCTGAAGAAGGCTGAAGTGCACAACGACTGAAACGTTGTGATAAATTTGGCAACAAAGATAAGGACAATAGTTCAAATAATGTAAATACTGTTATATTCACTTTTTGAACTAATGCCTTTGGGAAAAACATGAATCGACTCTTCCCCCTTCAGCTATGAGTTAAACAGCAGTGTAGACTAAACTTATGGCAATTCACAAATAAAAAAGAAAAGGAAGTTGTGGGGTGACATGATTGTCTACCCCTCAAAAGGGCATAGTGCTTTTACATTGAAAAATATATGTTATGAATGTTTACAGCACTTATTCGTTTTTGTTTATAAAAGGACTCTATGGGAGCCATGAACACCTATATTCTGGATGAAGGGGAACTGCTTTCATCAACTCCCAATAGTTCTTTTTACTTTTATAGCCAAGTGGCCACACAACATGAAACCTAATTTATAAATTCCCATTTCAAATTGGCACAGAAGGTCACTCTTAGGAATGATGTTGTTTTACAGAGGACGGAATAGGAAAAATTTGAAGTCTTATCTGGATGGGTTAAATACAGCTTAGGTTATCTGAGAGACTGTTTTGGGGTGGGCTTGGGGTGGAGATTACCCAGGATGAAAATTCCTGCTTGGGTTGGTTTTATTGCAACCCTCACTAACCCCATTTATTTCTTGACTCCCATTTGGTCTTTCCCCCTCCCACATTCGTTTGAGTGATTATCTTTAATTTATTGGCTTTCCTTTTGTTATTCTTCTTACTTCATTGCAGATTGGAGTTGAGAATTTGGGGAGAACAAAGAGGAAGTGCGCGCGCGCATGTGTGTGTGTGTGTGTGTGTGTGTGGATGAATAAGTGAATATAATTTTAGATGATAGAATAGATATATGAGAATAGAGGAAGATATAGGTAAACTAAAAGAGAAAAATGGAGATAGGACAGAAAGATTAAATGAAGGGAGAGAGAGATAAATAGAGAGCACGAAGTAAATGAAGGGAGAGAGAGATAAATAGAGAGCACGAAGTAAATGAAGGGAGAGAGAGATAAATAGAGAGCACGAAGTAAATGAAGGGAGAGAGAGATAAATAGAGAGCAAGAAGTAAATGAAGGGAGAGAGAGATAAATAGAGAGCAAGAAGTAAATGAAGGGAGAGAGAGATAAATAGAGAGCAAGAAGTAAATGAAGGGAGAGAGAGATAAATAGAGAGCAAGAAGTAAATGAAGGGAGAGAGAGATAGAGAAAGTTAAATGGAGGGAGAGAGAAATAGAGAAAGTTAAATGGAGGGAGAGAGAAATAGAGAAAGTTAAATGGAGGGAGAGAGAAATAGAGAAAGTTAAATGGAGGGAGAGAGAAATAGAGAAAGTTAAATGGAGGGAGAGAGAGATAGAGAAAGTTAAATGGAGGGAGAGAGAGATAGAGAAAGTTAAATGGAGGGAGAGAGAGAGAAAGAAAGTTAAATGGAGGGAGACAGAGAAAGTTAAATGGAGGGAGACAGAGAAAGTTAAATGGAGGGAGACAGAGACAGTTAAATGGAGGGAGACAGAGACAGTTAAATGGAGAGAGGAAGTTAAACAGAAGAGGAGAAAAAATGAGGCAGAGAGAGACAAGGAGAGAGAGTGAGAAACGAGAGACATTAAGAGAGAAAGACTTAATTAAGGAGAGACAGAAAGAAAGAATTAGATAAGGAGAGACAGAGAAAAAAAGAGTTACATCAGGAATGAGAGAGAAAGTGTTAGATCAGGAGTGAGGGAGAGATAGATAAATAGTGAGAGAGGGAGAGATAAAGAGAGAGAGAGAAAAAGAAAGACAGTTAAACAAGAAGAAAGAGTTAAACAGAATTAAGAGTAAACAGAATGTATTGTAAAAGAGAGAAAGAGATAATAAAATGATAAATACATATATGCAAACACACACACACACACATAAATATTCCTTACATAAATGTCCATAACTTCTGCCTGGATTGCTGGGATGAGGAGTTATTATTTTTACTGGCAACACACTGGACGATTGTCCTCATCTTTGTTGTTATTATTTTTTTATTTATTTTATTTTTACTTACTTATATCAACCTTCTGTTCAGAATGAAAGAACCACTCACCTGGAAAAAAAAAAGAAAAATTATTCAGTTAAAATTCTCAGAGTTGATATTAATAAAAATAATATATATATATATATATATCTCCCAAACTCTAGTGCTGCTAGTCAAAACAATGCCAATGCACACACAAGGTGCCTTTTATTCTGACTGCCATAATTTTACAGGATGGGAGACAGCAGGAAAAAAAAAAAATGGAAATCTGATGTCTGAGATAGTCTGTCAGAAAACTTAGTAGAAATTGATGAATTACCCTTAGGGGAAATGTAAGGATGTTCATTCCATAAAGTACTTGGAAGTGTTTAAGAGATTTAGAGAAAGGAAGATATTTAGGGAAAGAAAGAGAAAAGATATTTAGAGAAACAGGGAAAAATAAAGATATTTGCTACAGAAAGCAACTTATTTGCTGAGAGAGAAAAAGTTATTTAAAGTGAGAGCGATAAAGTTCAAGGTATTTAAATCAAAAGAGAGTTCAATGAATTTATGGAGAAAAGATTTCAAGGTATTTACAGAAAGAGTGAGATTGATTTCAAAGTATTTAAAGAAAGATTTCAAGTTCAGGGTAATTAAAGAGAGAAAGAGATAAAAAGATTTCAAGATATTTACAGAGAGGGAGAGAGATCCAAAGGTATTTATGGATATATATATATATATATGAAGGTATTTATGAAGACAGAGAAAGAGAAATTTCAAGGTATTTATGGAGAGAGAAAGAGAAATTTCAAGGTATTTATGGAGAGAGAAAGAGAAATTTCAAGGTATTTATGGAGAATGGAGAGAGAGGGAGAGAGAGAAAGATTGAAAGTTCAAGAAATTTTTAAAGAGAGAGAGATAAAAAGATTTCAATGTGTTTACAGAGACGGAGAGAGATTCCAAGTTATTTATGGAGAGTGAGAGAGAGATAGAGATTCTAAAGTATTTCTAGAGAGATAAATTTCAAGGGATATATGCAGAGAGAGAGAGAGAGAAAGAGAGAAAAAAAGAAAGTTAAACAAGGAGAGAGAAACAGAAAGCTACTGTATAAGAGAGTTAAAGATTTATACTGAGAGTGAGGGAAAATATAAAGTTCAAGATATTTACTGAGGGAGAGAGAAAAATCTTAAAAGATATGTTGAGTGAGTGCATGAAACACAAAGTTAAAAGGTTATTTACATATATATATATATATATATATATATATATATATATATATATATATAAGAAATATGGTAACTCAATTTTGAAATTGTTTCCTCTTAGAATTTGCTATTGAAAAAATGGTTTAATTGTATTGTAAGTACAGTTGCAGGAAAGAAACAAAAAGAATATAAATATGAATAAAAAGTACAGCAGGTCATGGATAGCTCAATCGCTCTCATATACACACACACACACACATATATATATATATATATATATATATATATATATATATATATATATATATACATGCCATAGAAATGTAAAGAACCATGAAAGAATTGCAGAAGTCTTGTGAGGAGTTTTCTTTGCTAAGAGAGAAGTGTGAAACCCCATATTCAAATATGGGCATTTGAACAAAAGCAGACAGAGAATAGAATTCTTCAAAGAAGGCACTCCTTAACAATTTCCCAAGAATAAAAAAATGTACAGAAAAAACAAATATTAAAACAAAAATGGTCTTGTGAAAGAATTTTTAGTGTCCGAGAGTGAGAGAGAGAGATTGCAAAAGTATTTCTATTTCCAACACCCACATGCACAAAAGAAAGATTCCTTCAAAAGCTATCTCGTTAAAAGATCAAAGGGAGTTTCTTCCTAAAAAGGTTGTAAAAAAAATCAACCTAACCCCATTCTGTAATACACATTGTGGTTAACCTCAAAAAGTACCATATAAGAAAAAAAATAGAAAAGAAAAGAAATAAAAACAAAACAGAAAAAAATTAAAACAAAAAAAAAAATAAAAAAAAAAAGTAAATTAAAAAAAAATAATTTTTAAAAAGATAAAAAAATTTAAAAGACAAAAAATTTAAAAAGATAAATTAAAAAATTTAAAAAATAAGTTAAAAATTTAAAAAGATTTTTAAAAAATTTAAAAGATAAGTTAAAAAAATTTAAAAAGATAAGTTAAAAAAAAAAGATTTAAAAAATTAAAAAGATAAGTTAAAAAATTAAAAAAGATAAGTTAAAAATTTAAAAAATTTAAAAATTTAAAAGATAAGTTAAAAATTTAAAAAAGATTTAAAAAATTAAAAAGATAAGTTAAAAAATTTAAAAAGATAAGTTAAAAAATTTAAAAAGATAAGTTAAAAAATTTAAAAAGATAAGTTAAAAAATTTAAAAAGATAAGTTAAAAAATTTAAAAAGATAAGTTAAAAAATTTAAAAAGATAAGTTAAAAATTTAAAAAAAAAAGATAAAAAAAATTTAAAAAGATAAGTTAAAAATTTAAAAATACAATAAAAAAAAAGATAAGTTAAAAAATTTAAAATAAAAAAAAAAAGATAAGTAAAAAATTTAAAAGATGTTAAAAAAAAAGACAATAGAAAAAACAAATTAAAAAAAACAAAATAAAACTAGTAAAAAAACAAATAAGTTAAAAACACAAAATAAATAAAAATCAATAAAAATCAAATAAAAACAAAATAAATAATCAGAAGGAAAACTTATATATATATATATATATATATATATATATATATATATATATATATTATATGCCAAATCCGTTGGGTTTTGATCCCAGCTTGAAGCAATCGGATGTTTAGCCACAATGCAAAACAGGCCTGTATGTGGATGACATTATGTGTGTGTGTGCGTGTGTGAACAGCTACTCTCCTGTGGTGTTACTCAATCAAAAGAAACTTGGAAATTAGAGATGATTCAATGAGTGAATCACAGATTAGATTTTTGTATCAATGCTTCAAAATTGGCCAGGAAGCTATTTTTTTATTATCATTAATGTTCCACAAAACAAGGCCTAAGAACCACTCAAGGTAGAGGGTTACTGTGTGGTGTTGTATGAGTGTAAGAAATGGCAATAAGTGAAGTACTGGGTGCTATCCACTATTTACATTATTCGGACTATTGTCCTCATCTTTGTCGCCATATTTATTACGTTTCGGGCGTTGTATGCTCCAGCTTCTTCAGGTGGTTGGAATGTCGAACTGAACCCTTTATTTCGCTCACTGGGGTAGACTGTTCTAGCTCCATGTGCCATGTTTAATGGATGTCAGTTATCAGTTATCTCCTGTTAATTCCCCTCTGAAAGTTCTTCACTGCCTTAACCGGGTATTGAACTCACACTCTTTGGATCCTGTCACTGGATCTAACTAACGCCTTTATCCACTGTGTCATGTGTTCTTGAGGAAAGATATCCACTAACTCTAGACTTGAAGAGGTCAATATTTAATTAGTGAATAACATTTCAGAGCTCAGTCAGACATTGGAAGTATAAAGTTTAGAAGGAACCGGAAACTCAATTCTAAACAAGAAACACTAAATAAACCTCTACTCTTGTTCAAAAGACCAGGGAGGAGTGTGAACCAGACAACGGGCAAACCTATCTACTCCTATTAAATTTTGAAAGCAATCCACATTCTTGAAGGCCTAGTAGAACAAACCCAAAATACTGAATAGATATATTTTTTTTTTTAAGCATTTCACCCCAAGCAAGGTGGGAAGCCACTAGGACGCAAGGGGTTACAGAAGATTTGGAGCAAGATCAGATAGGAGTGATAGAGGAAAGGATGAGGAGAAGGATAGATCAAGACAACTGGAGATATCGATTGACATTAAATTTGAAGATCAAGACAACATGGAAACTATTCAAATGATTAAGGTGAGAATTAAAAGATCTGATAATTCCATGGACAGTCCAGAAAGAATGCAGCCATTTCAAGTGACTGCCTGTTCCTTATTGTCTTGGGCAGGAATTTTAGTAATTGATTGCTTTATTGATGTTTGTAATCCCACCATATAATTTGATTCTCTGCAACGTCTGGCTTTTCCAAAAGATTGAAAAGGAAGAGATGTTTGACCAAGGAAGCAATTATGCATGTATGTATAGCTGGCCACTCATATTCAAGGATACCCGTCTACTAGGGCGGCTAGACAATCCCTATTGCTGACGCTTGCTCAGGCACATTTATGTTTGTTCAACACCCACAGAGCCCACCTGTGGTTTATACTACAAATATGTTGGGCAGATCTTAGTTACAGTTTCTAGGAAAGAGTGTGTTATCCAGAGTGATCAACAAATATTGAACAAGGCCAGACAGTTCAATCTCTCGGCCACAATGATTTGTGACTTTGTGCTATCAGAGCTATTGATAGCCCCCAAGAGTTCCATCTACCCAATTTCACTCACAAGGCTTGGAATGGTTTTCAGGGACTTTCCAAAGGTGTCACATGCTGCGATCAACCCCTCCATTCTGATAACATCAGAAAGTATCCTTCCTGACAAATCGACTATGGCGAGATTCGAACCTGGGTCTCATGGTTAGAATGCGAACGTTCTAACCACTCAGCCATGTGCCCATGAAAGAAACAATTAAGAGAATGCAAAAAGGTACCTGATCTATGTGCCATGTCCCTTCAGCATGGTGGCAATCATGGATCTGAAGAATTTCCTGTCTTTTGTAGCTCTTTATAAATTTTGTCTTATTACTATCTATCCAAAACCCTGCTCCACCATCCATTCACGAAAGTTTACCAGGTAAGTTGTGTTGTTTTCCTCTGTCTCTCTTCCCTTTAATCTGTCCTTTAAGTATCAAATTTTCCAAACCCTCTTTCCTCATATGCCCTAGAAATTTCAACTGTTTCTTCATGATGTTTAAGTGCCCCTTCTTTTTCTGTTTTCTCCAGAACTTTGTTGTTGTTCAAATGTTCGGTCCATGGTATTTATCCGATTTTGAAAAGTGGAAAGGATACTGCAATAAATGTCTGAGATTAAGGAGAACGTGAGGAAGCAGCTGATGGTGATCCCAAAAGAGAACTTTGAAGACGGTTCTGAAAAGTAGAAGTTAATTACTTAAATATTGCTGTCACTTTTTGACAGCAGCATCAAACTTGCATAACTACAAGCATATTATGATTCTGTTTGTTCATTAGTTAATCTTTACGTCATGGCCTGCCAATACCTCATAAATAATGAGCTATTCTATTTTGTTCACAAGGAAAGACATATCAGAGAGAAAACAAGAAAGGGAGAGAGATGAGTACAAGAGAGAGAGAGGAGAACAAAAGAGAGAGGAGAACAAAAGAAAAAACAGAGGGAGAAGAAAGAAAGAGGAGAAAGAAAGAAAGAAAGAAAGAGGAGAAAGAGAAGAAATGGAGAGAGAAGAAAAGAAAGAAAGTGAGAAATGAGAGAGAGTGAAGAAAGAGAATATCTGCTTCAGTGAGATAGAAAAACAAATCTTTTTTATTTGTACCCTCTTACTTCTTTAAATAATGATCTGCATTCATACTTATGATTTTTATTGCAATATTTCTTTTTGAATTTGTAGCTCTGATGATTTGGATTGTGATTACAATTCCAATGTAATAAATTATAACCATGGAATATTAGTGTTTGAGCCTTTCATATTATATATATATATATATATGTATGTATGTGCACATTTCATTGAATATAATATGGAGCCCTACTGAACCCTATTCATAATATACTTGTTAACAACACAAATATAATAGCATCATCTAGATGCAAACAAAAGGCTAAAAATAATAGAAGCCTTATTAATAAAAAAAATTGTAAAAAAAAACACTCAATAATATCAACTATGAACTTGGACACAATATCTTGATTGTGCTTTGAAAATGAAAACAAATACTTACATACAACAATCTATTTCTTGTTAACAGTTAATATGTTTCAACCTTGAAAATGGCTAAATTTATAGCTGAAATCACTTGGATAAAAAGAACAATTGAACAGTTTTTATATAATTTATGACCCCAAAAATTATTAGATCGCATGAGAAATTGTATAAAAAAAAAAAAAACTAAATCAAAGTACCTTGTTTGTTGTATTCAATGAAATGTGCATGAAAAAAGGATTGCTTCCTAAATACACAAATATATATATATATATATAAAAGGTTAACAGTCAGAGTTAAATCAGACAAGGAAACAGTAGTATTAAAAAGTGGTCAATAAAAATAAAGAGAGGTCAATTGATAAAAAAAAAAAAAAAAAAAAAATAAAATCGCCGTAAGGTTTGAAACCAAGGTAGTGGATTCAACTTATCTCCTGATTTTTAAAGTATATATATATATATATATATATATATATATATATATATATATATATATATATATAGATAATATTAGTGGTATATATATATATATATATATATATATATATATATATACTGACAAGAGAATAGAATGCAGTTAGAGCTTAATGTCCAGGACAGAGCAAGAATATATTATAAAAGGATCAAACACTAATATTCCATGATTATAATTTATTATTGGAATCATAATCATGATCCAATTCAACAGACGTACAAATTCAAAAAAGAAAACGGAAAATATTTTCCAATTTTCTTTTTCAAATTTGTAGGTCTGATGAATTAGATCATGATTATGATTCCAATGTAATAAATTATAACCATGGAATATTAGTGTTTGATCCTTTCATACATACATATATATATATATATATATATATATATATATATATATATCTAAAATACATAAAAGATTAATGGTCAGGGTTAAATCAGACAAGAAAATGGTAGTATCAAAAAGTGGTCAATAAAAATAAAGTGTTAGGAGGTCAATTGATAAAAATCGCCTTAAGGTTGAAATCAAGGTAGTGGATTCAACTGATCTCCTGATTTTTAAAGTGTGTGTGTGTATATATATATATATATATATATATTCCCTAAGAGGATAGAATGCAGTTAGAGCTTAATGTCCAGGACAGAGCAAGAATATAATATAAAATTTATTATATTGGAATTGTAATCATCAGACCTACAAATTCAATAAGAAATCGGAAAATATTTTCCAATTCATCAGTTTGAATTTGTAGGTCTGATAAATTGGATCATGATTACGATTGCAATGTAATAAATTATAACAATGAAATATTAGTGCTTGAGCCTTTCATATTATATATATATATTATTTCACCTCAAGCAAGGCGGAAATGCCACTAGTATGCAGGGGGTTAGTGAAAGTGAGGGAAAAGACTGTGCATAGTGGGGGTTGATGAAAAGATAAAAGATGAACTGGATTCATAAAGACAGGAGATAGTGATTAATGTTGAAGTTAAATTTTTGAAGATTGAAGTTTTCAGGGAAGCAAGTAAACAGAAAGGAGTTTCACAGGCAGGAGGTGCAAGAAAAGAAACTGTTGGAGTAGAAGTGTTGCTTGCATTTAACTATTTCAACAGTAAATGGGTGGGACCTAGATGCCAATGTAGTTGGGGCATCTGAGAAAAAAAAAACTTGTCAAAGCAATTGCCATGAAAATATTTGTAAAAAAGACAGAGGTAAGCCATGTCAAGTTGGTGAGAAAGTGACTGAAGTTGAGATGCCTGGTAAGGATTGATTACATGACAGATCCTTCTTTGGATTATATATAAGACCTACAAGTGTAATTGCTTCTTGCTGCTTGTTTTGGAGTGATTTCACAGTGGAGGCTTGTATTTGTACTGTCGGTCCTAAAATAGGTTCGACGTACAAAACATTAGGAACTTGATATAATAGGTGTGATGCAGAGTAATCTAGTTGTGGGCGCTGATACTTTAGTATTCGACTAACGGTTGTCCAGCATCGACTGACTCACTGAACGACTGACTTGTTACTCTTACTACTCCTACTTATTATAGGTGGGAGAGTCTATTAACTACAGAATAGGTGTGTTCCGCTATAACATCCCCCCCTAAAACTTTACTCCATAGAAGTAAAGAGTTTTCTTTATTTTTTATTTTTTTACAGGAAATATGAAGAAAAAACAACAAAAAATCTTCATTTTTTTTAGCAACATCGTAGCATATCTCCTACGTTTTTGATCCACTTTTAAATGATCAGTTGCCTTTCTTTTTTCTCCTGGATCGACATACCTCAGGTAAAATTGTTGCAGGCGTTGTTAGATCAAACGTATTGAAAATCACCTCCATCTGCATTTTTTCCGCGGGACCGCTGTCAACCACGTCTGAAAAACGTTGTCTGATCTGGTTACTGCACATGAATTTTTCGCCTTTCACCAAGTACATCATATTGCCAATCTGCTTTTCTATTTTTTGGTACCTCCATAGTGTTACCAGAAACAACCTTCTCCTTTGAGCTTCTTAAGGATGGAGTCACAGTTTCTGTAGGTTCTTCTTGTGGTTCTATTTGTTCAGCCTCTAGCTTTCCTTTTGTTGATCTTGTGCTTCATATCGTTTTCTGTGGCGACTTCAGTTGACTTAAATCATTTAATAATACTGCATGTCCTTGGCTGCGGGTAACTCACTCCCCAGTTTTTCTTGGTGTCGGCTTCATCTTTACTTTCTGGAGCTTGTTTTTCACATATATCGTCGGTGTTACCCACTCAACTTTTTTAAATACACCGGTTTTCTCTAATCTGTCCAATTCTTTATCTGTTCAATTGAAGCAAATAGCACATTTCTTTTCTTTTTGTATACCGCCTGAACTTTTTCTTTTGGCTGGAATTTTGCCTCCATCTTGGTACACATTCCCAAACCTGGAAAAAAAAAAAACAGTAGGAAATGTTTCCTTAAGTTTCTTTACTGATTTTTGGGCTTCGGAGTTTAAATTTTCTACCTTGTAACAGAAAGAATTTATCGGTAGATCCCATAATTTAAATTCTGTTATCCAATTCATACCAAGTAAGTTCGTGGTATTTTTTATTACAAATAGTTTAGCTTTTCACGTTTTTTTTATTTAACGTAACGTTTGTAACAAATTCTCCAATAAATTGTATTTTTTCTCCCATCACTGACCTCGTGATTTCATTTGTCTTCATTAAAGTTGGTTTCCCCAACTTCTTCCATGTATGCAAATTTATGATAGATAGGTCGAAACCAGTGTCGAGTTGCATTTTTATTTTTTATTACTTATTTCGATGGTAACAAATTTTCTGGTTATTCCATCGTTCACCTCGTCGGACTTTAATTTTCTTATTTTATTGTCTTTATTTTTTGACCTGCAGTGCAAGCTTTTATGACCCACTCTTTTACAGTTGAAACATTTTTTATTCCTAAAATTGCAATATCTGTACCAGTGAAGTTCACCGCAAGCAAAACATGGCTTCGGGAGTTTTTGTTTATTTTTCTCTGGTATTTCACTTTTTGTTTGATAATCCGCAGTTTTAGAATTCTTTTTGGTAGACTGACTTTCATTTTTTAGCATATTTTCCTTAGATGCGAAACGCCAGACTGTTCTATCTTTTTCAAATCTTTCTTTATGCTAACATATCTTGTGCAGTCTTCTGCCAACTTCTGTAACGTAATCCTTGGCTCGTTTTCCAATTTTGCCAGTACTAATTTTCTCAACTCTGCATCTCTTTCCGATACCAGCCCTGAACAAACACCAAGCATTTAAAATTATCAGCACTTAACTCTGCCAGCTTGAATTCTTCACAATGCTTGTTCACATTGGCTGCGTACATTATATAGTCTTGTTCGTCATCTTTCATCAGATTCAAATATTTCCACCTCTTGTGAAACAAAGATGTCTTTTTACTAAATAATTCATGTAATATATTTACCGCCTCAGTAAATGTCAACTCGCTAGTTTTTCGGTAAAATGTAGTTTACCAATTTGTTATGCTCAGCAATTCCTAATTTGCTTAAAAGAAGCCTAACCTTCTTTCCTTCAGACCACATGTGGCAGTCCTCGTTATACACGTCCGTATATTTTTTATAATACTCCTCAAAAGTTATCTCTTCATCTGGACTGTACGTGAATATTTCAATTGAATTCCATATTGTATTCTCTGGGAAAGAATCATTTTGTAGATTTTTCTCTTTCCTCTTCTCAGTTATTTCCAGAATTTTGTTTTGAAACTCCCTATACATCTGTTCCATTTCTTGTTGAAACTGCATTTGTCTATTAAAAGTTTCCTCCTGTAGCTGCATCTGGAATGTTCTCTGTTGCTCTAATATTGTCATCTGTTCTTCCGACTGGAACTTAAAAAAATCCCAGAATATATTTTTGCATTCCTCCATCTTTACAAAAAGTTTACACAATGCTTAAATATTGTAGGGGGGGGTTCCTACGAATTTGCAATTTGTGACCTATTTGAGCAAACTGTATTATCGAGAAAAAAAATATATTTCTTTTCTCAGTTGAGAATACGACAGATTTTTTTGTCACTAAGTTGACGTCTTGTATTTCGAAAAACTTTGCCAAGTTTTTTTTTTTTAAGTGTGAATC